TAGGTGGCTATAGTATTCTTCAATCCAAAAGGCATGACCTGGTAGCAGTAAGTTCCCTGTTCAGTCACAAATGAAGTCTTCTCCTAGTCCGCTCCTGATCTGATTATAACCTGAGAAAGCATCCATGAAGCTGAGGAGCTTATTCCCAGCAGTTGCATCTATGATCAAGTTGATTCGAAGTAAAGGAAAGCTGTCCTTAGTGCATGCTCGATTGAGATTAGTGAAATCAATGCAGAGCCGGCATTTTCCATTGATCTTCTTGATCAGCACCACATTCGCCAACCAGGTAGGGTAGTCCACTTCTCTGATGGCTTTGGCGTTGAGGAGTTTATTGACCTTCTCGTTAATTGCCTTTTGGCATTCCGGAGCAAAAATTCTCCACTTCTGTTTAACAGATTTGCAAATGGGATTCACGCTTAGCTTGTGTGTGATGATTGAGGGGTCAATGCCTTCCAAGTCCTCTTGCTTCCAAGCGAACAGCCCCATGTTCTTCCTCAAGAACTAGGTGAGTATGTCTTTCATTTCTTTGCTCAACTTAGATCCCACGTAAACAATATGTTCAAGCTCCTCATCGAGCTGGACTAGCTCTAGTTCTTCTAATGGTATGGGCCTGGTGTCCAACTCGTCCCTCATGTCAAGCTCATCTAGCTGGATAGTTTCAACCTCTTTCTGCTTCATCGAGGCCATGTAGCACTCCTTGGCTATTCGCTGGTCTCCTCGAACCATTCCAACTCCATTTTCTGTAGGAAATTTTACGACTAGGTGATATGCTGAGGGGTGGCCTTTGTTGTGTTAAGGGATGGTCTCCCAAGTAGTCTATTGTACGCGAAAGGAGCGTCAACTATCAGGAATTTCACAATGGTGGTGGCTTGATAAGGAGGGTCTCCCATAGTGAGCACGAGTTGGATGGATCCCAAGAATAGCACCATCTCCCCTAAGAACCCCATCAAGTGAGCATTCACTACCTCAAGCTTCTTCCTTCCTACGCCCATTTTGTCAAAGGCAGAGGCAAAAATAATGTTGGCCGAGCTCCCATTGTCAATTAGAACTCGATGAACAGTTTGGTTTGCCACAATGGTCCTTACGACCAACGGGTCATCATGGGGATACTGACAGCCTTCCAAGTCTGAATCCGAGAACGAATTGGTTGTGCTTAGCCGAGGTATTTTGGATATTGTGTATACTTTCAGCGCTTCGTCAGCACTGATCCTATGCAAGTGTGCTTTCTTGGCTGCATTGGATTCTCCACCGCCAACAAATCCTCCAGATATCATTCTGATCTCCCCTAAAGGTTGCTGGTGCTTCACAAGGGCTTGTTGTTGGGGTGCCGGTGGTGGTGGAGCCCTGTTCTGGTCGTCATGGGTGACAAATCGTCGTAACTATCCCTTCTGGATCAAGAACTCGATCTCCTTTTTAGCTGGATGCAATCGTTGGTATGATGGCCATAATCCCTATGATACTCGCAATATTTCATAGGGTCTCTTTTAGACGGATCTGCCTTCATTCGTGGAGGCCACTTTAGGAATTTCTCGTTCTGCACCTCGTATAGGATCTAGGACACTGTCGCAGTGAGAGGGGTATATTGCTGAGGTGTATACCTCAATTGTAGTTCAGGCTGTGGGGGGTCTAAGCGGTCCCTAACGTTCCCCCTCCTTTTTGGAGATCCCCATTTGTCTCTTCTGGGAGATCTATCTCTCTTTGGAGATCTGTTTCTTTCCCTCTTTCTCCTAGGACTTCGGTTCCTCTTTTTCTCTTCCTTTCCCTTGTCTCTATGTGCGGAAGAGCTCCCTTCCTTAGAAAGAAGAGCTTCTTCACCATTTATGTATTTCTCCGCTTTGGAAAGCACTTCAGCCATGCTTGCTTGGGGATTTTTTGATATGGAGAACATCAAATCTTTAGACTGCACCCCTAGACCAGCTATGAAGGCAGTGATGGCAAAATTTTTGTCTAGGACATCCACCTTTAACGACTACAAATTTTCTTGTGGTCCCTGCTTCACATTCAAAAGGTGATAGCTCGGCTTTCTATAGGTTCGAGCCCCTATGAAGTGGAATACGAAGGAAATGAAAAGCTCTTTGAAGAAAGAAATTGAGGCCGGGGGAAGCCTGTTAAACCACGCCAAGGCTGAACCCTTCAAAGTGATGGCAAAGGCTCGACAACGTACGGAGTCCTGATACCCGTGCAATTCCATCTGGTTCTTATAAGTATTGAGGTGGTCCATGGGGTCCCTGGTTCCATCAAAGTACTCTATCTGTGGCATCCTGAACTTTGGTGGAAGGGGAAAATGCAACACCCCAGGCGTGAATGGAGATTCAGTCTGCTGCACCAAGGCGTCCATTGTAACTAGAGCTTTACTTCTGACCGCTTCCTTCATGTGGCTGAGCTCCTGTTGGATGCCCTTGAAGCGTTGCTCCTAATATTGCTCCCTTCTCTCCTGCTGATAAGGGAAGACATCATTCTTCTCACCTTTATGGTTTTGAGTTTGTACTTCTTCATTATGGTCGTTCCTAGGGGATAGTTGGGGATACTGCCCCAAGTTCTGGCTGTTCTGCCTCCCTTCGTTGTCTTCTCTAAGTGGATCAAGGTGTTGTTGATCCCTGTAATGGGGATTGTTCTGACCTTCTTGGGCCGGACGTGCCTCTTATGGGCGCTGTAAGAGTTTCAAGAGCTCCTTGTTTTGCTTTATCAAGCGCTGATTGACGAGGCGAAGGGCCTCCATCTCGTTATTTATGGGGGGGATTCCCCATGGGATGATCAGTCTCTGGGACGTTCTAGGGCTGTTTGCCATTGGTGGCTCCCTGTTGGTCGTGCATCCGAGATGGGTTTGTTTGACTTCTGCTCATGTTTCGTGTTGACACCATCAGTTACTGAAAGATCAGCTTATTTGTAACAGGAACGGTCGTTCCCACAGACGACGCCAAACTGCTGATGCCAAACTGATGTGAGTGAATAGAGTGCGTGGGACCAATGGTGAAGTTAGGCTGCCAAATTCGTAATAGTAATGATGAAGTGTTTCTTAAGGGATAGGGGAATTTGCACAGTTGGAATATAGTGGTTCACCGGCTCTAGAGCTCGGTTAATCTACTCTCAAATGGAGGCTCTTGTTCCTTTTCTTCTCTATTGATTATTTGAATGTAATACAAGACAGTGCACAATTCGATTAGGGTTCTTCTTTTTTTCTCTATCTCTCGATGAGGCGTTACATAGTATTTATAAGGCTGTCCCCTATTCTGTGGGATTTCAGCCAAGATCTTTGCCTATTATTCATGGGATCCTACTTAATTTTAGGAGAGAATCTTGGTTGGTTGAAAGTTTCATGTATGAGGTCTAATTTTCGCAGTCATCCAGCTGTTTCCTGGTCGGTTCAGCTACGATCTCCCCAATGGGAGCTCCACCCCTGATTCTCTGAGTTCCTTGTGTCTTTCCTGACCTCCTAACATGAGCTCATAGCTAGGGCTTGTTTGAGGTATCATCAGCATTCATAGCTACAATATGAACTCAAGATGTAAATTATTACTAGTAAATCAGGCATACCAGATCAATTAAAATAGTTTTTTAATCAAGGTAAACTTAAGAGTTGAAATTATGTACCTAAATTATGTCAAGGTAAACTTAAATATTTATGATGATTTTCAATACAGTCCATTGCATGAATTGAACACTTAACACAAACCAAAAAATTGTGTAAACCGCTCACCGTAACATAACATAAACGACTAAGATAATTGCCAAATGAGTAAAACTAAATTTTGACACGACTAACTTGTTTAACTAGTAACGTAAACAAAGTATTTGTTTTCATTTATCATTTCTTAATCTACTCTTGTATAATTTATCATAGAGCTATTTTTTTTTTGTTTTAATGTAGTTTTGTTAAGACGTGCATCAAGTAAGTTCTCAATTTATGGAAGCCTAACTATATTAAATTACCATGACACTTTCAAGGGAAAAAAGTAGTACATTTGTTTAAGAGAGAAAATATCGTAGTCTTTGAGATTTTGCATTCATGGATACATATATCGGCCTACAACATAATACGAATATAAAATGACGCAACACAACTCGATTGACACTCTATGAAAGGGCTTCAACACTCAAAGAAAGGTGCTAGATCTAACCATGTCAATTATATAGGTCAGCATCCATGACAATACAACTACAGATTCTAGTCACAATTAAAAGCTCCATTTTACCCCCAACAACACCCAATGGTATTATATTTGGTTTCTGCCGGTTGATTCCAGCTGATATAGGTACAAGAGCATCTCAGATTTCTGTCAATTAGTTAGAACCTGGATAAAAAATCCCGTATCAACCATTTTCTAATGATGATGGGAGAAACGAAAAGATATAAACAAGACAAATAATGGACCTTAAATACAATTATCATTCATTGTTTCTACCTCTACTCTATTTGAATCTCCCCACTTCAACATCCTTGAAGCATAGGAACTACCGTTCACACTTTTTGCAACACTCCTTGTCTAAGATTTGATCTTTTTCTAAAACTCAATGCAATCTTCGACATGAATTTGGCTGCTTCTTGTAAAAGTTCAACTGAAAGCAACCCATCCTTTTGTTCCTTCCACCAACTTTTTTTTAGTGTCTTTCTGGAAAGTTTTGGTTCGAGTCACTCCATGGATAGTCATGTAAGAGTTTGCTCTACTACCATTGGCCAGTCACCTTCAACATTATTGTTAGTGCTCTCATTAGATATAGTGGGCACTAGCATCTCCATTGCAATGGCTAATAGATTCACAATTGACCATATGTTCATCATCTCCACAGTTGCCAATTTGTTTTTGCAAAAAACTAGATGACATTGTGCTCAAAATGAGGCTTCACCTCATCGTTCATTCAGCTACCATTTGGCTGAAATAAATTAGGTTTGCTAAATCCATTTGTTTGACCATAGATGTGGCATGCTAAGGTCGATTCACTCGCTTAACAAAATTAACTCTGTGGGCAATTCCCAAGAAACTCAAGAGGAAAAAGTGGTTTCAATTTTGCACAAGAATTGCTTCCATCAATTTCTCTGTTGCACCTTCAAAGCCACAAGAAGGTTGAAAACCCTTTCCAGATGCAGTCTCAACCTTTTGCGGCTTACCTCTGGAATTAACTAAATTCTCTTCTTCTAGGACTTTACCTAAGTTTAAAGCAACAATAGAGTTTTTAGGGATTGTTTTACCATTTTCACAGATACGTGTCTGAGTAGACATAGAGACCTTCATTGAAGAATCCATTAGAACACACGGTTCATCACTACTTTTACTAGTTCCATTTCCCTACTCTATATCACAAATAGGGGGAATCAGATAAGGTTTTAGAGTATAAGCTTCAATAGAATATGTATCAGCCAAAGACGTGCCCGTCAAGACTAGTCTATGAGCATGTTCAATAGGAGAAACAACAACTTAAGCTTCATTATGACCTTTATTAAAAATTAATTTGCCTCAAAATCCATCATATCCAAACCTTCATCTACATATTCAGATTTTGGTGTGGAAGACAACCCATCATTACAATTAGAAACCTTCACCTTTGAGCTGCGATCAGATGTCAAAGAATCAGAAATACTAGTTGCATCAATCAACTATGCCGCTGAAAGGCATCCAACAAGTCATTTTGAGCAATGCACCCGTTGTTAGGTCACTTTCACCTTTTCCTGCTCCTCCTTTAAAGCTTCAGAGGGATATAAGCTTGATGGTCGAGCACAAGCCCTATAAAGAAACAAGCAAATAGGATCATCAATTACCAATCATATTAGTTAGTAAACATAACTGCTATTCATTAGACCATAAACATGTTGTCAAACATGAACAAAAGCCCAAGCATTTCATTACACAACTTTAAGATCAAACCACTCTAGATTTTCAACTATTGCAAACATAAGCTAGTAAGGAAGCAATTCCAACAATAAAGCAAACAAGCCAATCTAAAGTTCATTAAATTCCCCTTCCTTTGATAAAATAATTGAAGAGGAAGTTTTGGGCCCTCTCTGGGCATAGGCTTGCATCTTGTGTCACTTGAGAGAAAAAGCAAATTACAAAAATTGTCAATTCCAATAAGGATGTCCATATTCATTAGACTCTATGAAAATATTCCTCGTACACCTAAGAAGTGGAAACACAAATACATAACACAGATACAATATGACAAGGACACATCAACACAAATTTTTTCAAAAAAGTAGGACACGGACACGTTGGTCATACGTTTAAACGACCAAAATACATCTATAGCAGAATATGTTTTATGTTTTACTATTACTTGACAATTTGATAATATAATTTTAGTAAATTTTTCAATAACAAATCATAAAAAATAAACAGTTTTCACTCTTAAAGAAACATGGGTCTTGTTATAATGGTGTACTTACAAAGTGACCGTGGCTAATTAAAGGAACCAAAAACAACATATAACTAATTGGTTTGCTTAGAAATACTTGTTGCCAAAGTGTAGGGTGTATGTAACTCATTTTATATTAATTTGAAATATTTACAGTAGTGAAAGTATGAATTTGAATATACTTGCTCATACTTTAGAAGTATAATTCATAATACTTGCTTATACTCGCTTTATATTAATTTGAAATATTTTGATGGTGTATCTCAACGTGAAACCATTTTTGTGATGACGAGTAAATGAAATAATCAATATTGGAATTATTGGGATCTGAGCTATTAGACTCGAGGGAATTGTTACGGAGTTGGAGAATTAACACAGTAGAAATATAGTGGTTCACCAGTTCGGGAGCTTGACTAGTCCACTCTGGAATGGAGGCTCTTACTCATTTTCTTTCAATAATCGCCGTTACAAGGTTACAATGGCTCCTTTTTGTTTCTAGGGTTCCTCCTCTTGTTAGGAGGTGTTACATTGCATTTATAAGGCCATTCCCTGCTAAGTGGGATCCTGGCCGAGATTCTTGCCCTTACTTCGCGGGGTTCTCCCTAAGTTTTAGGAGAAGATCTTGGTTGGGTGAGATTAGGTGTCTTGATTATAGCTTCCTAACGCTTTAGGAACCTCTTGTAATTATCCAGCTGTTGTTTTGGTTGTCATTGCCATCGCTTATCTCGAGGGTACCTCCAGCTCTACTATTTCGAGTTCTATTTGCCTAGTCTGACCTCCTAGGCTGATTTGACCTCCTAAGCTGGCATTTGGGATTTATTTTGAGGTATCATCAGTTGCCCCCCAGCCCTTGGCCCAAGTGAGCTTGGGCATGGGTTGAGCTGTTTTCACCTTGGACCAGATCTGCACCTAACTTACCTTAGTCCCCATGTGGGATGCACGTGGAAGGGGCATTTTGACGGTTTACAGCAATCATGACTTTCTCGATTCTCGTGCATATTTCAGCCCACGTCATTCAAGCTTTAAATGCTCAAATGGCTACCCGAAAATAGCTCAAAATCCCCTGTTCATCTTCTACGCTGTTCACCTTCGTCTCTGGCTCTTTCTTTCTGCAATTTTTGGGCTTTCCTCCACATGATTCCCTTATTTTTTGCTCTAGACTATGCTTTTTGGGTTCGACTCGAAGTCCTGCTTTGTTCCTCTTCTCCAATTTTGTTCTCTGGCTGTTGTTTGCTGCTCTCTTCCCTGTCTAGGTACGTTTCCTTCTGCCCCTTTATCTTTCTCTTACCTTTCCTCACTCTGGATCCCTCGACTTCGAGGTGACCATTATTTTTCTAGATTTTTCAGTTCTTTTTCTTTTGGAATCATGATTGTTGCCTATCTCCTCTTCCCCACTTTGTGGATTGGAACTCCACTGTGCGAATTCTTACTGTTGGGAGCTACAGTGCTGACCCTAGGATTATCAGGGGGTGTTTAGTTAGTATTCCTCCTTTTTATCATTCTTTTGACTTGCCTTTCTCCTTGCCAATCATGTCTGCCTCCTCTAGAGTAACTCCTTCCTCTGTTTCCCTCTTAGGCGATAGGTCCGCGGAAAGAGATTCTGATTTAAGGGATGTAGGTGACGAAATTGACAACTTTTATGGCGTAGACTCTGCCGAGGTGGAGGTGAAAACTGAGGAGGCCCCCTCCACCTCTTCTCCCATGCCTGATAGACCTGATAAGGGCAAGGGCAAAGAAAGTAGTGTGGGAGTCATTGTTTCAGGCGCAGGGGTTGCCTTTAGGAACGCTGAACTTATAGGTCCCAACAGACTTACCCCTTCTGACCTGAAAGTTCTCAGTGCTCGCTTTGGTTTTCCCCCAAGGATTCAGCCCTGGAGTCTTGATAAGTACACCATATATGTTCACCATGTCTATAAGAAGGTCTATTTCTTCCTAGCAGCTTTTGATAATGGACTTCGGTTTCCCATTCATCCTTTTATGAAAGTGTCCTTCAACACTTCAATGTTTGCCCTGCCCAGCTCTCCCCTAACTTCTGGGGTGTTCTTATGGGTTTACTAGTCTTCTTTAGAGACCATAAGCTCGGGGTCCCTACTGTTTCCATACTTATGGAGCTGTTCAATGTCAAGTAGACCTCCTCTGATAGTTTTCTGTATGTTTCCAAGAGTGCTAAGGCCAAACAGGTCATCTCTGACCTCCCAAGCTCCCATAAGGGCTGGAAGAAACAATTTTTTTTTGTAGGCGGTACACAGTAGGAGTTCAACTTAGAGGATAAAACTGATACCATCCCCATCCCTACAAAGTGGTCTGCCCTCGATAATTTGGATTTGTTTCTGCCCATACCGTATTTAATCTAAATCTGGCTGCTTTGTTAACTTATTTCTTGTTTTCCTTAGTTTTCTAGGTATCTGACCTAAGCTCAGCGCTGAAGAAGAGCGAGTATTGCAGAAATTGGAAAAGTGCAAACCAAAGAGATATTCTGAGCTCATCCAACCTTGGGCTCTTGTAGAACACGGGTTCTGCCTTCCTGAGGTGAGGGTTGAAGCTCCCCTTCCACTTTTCATTGCTGGCCCCATCCCGCTTTTTGTCACAGATATATCAGGTAACACTTTTTCTTTGCACCATCTCTCCTCTTTTCTCTGTCTAAGGGCGAGGCTTAGCTATTTTTAGGTCCCGCAGGTTCATCCTCAGTGGAGCCCACTGCTGCTGAACTTAGGGCTAAACTTTCTCAAATGAAGAATATCAAGGGGAGCAGCAAGAGCAGCGCCAAATGCAAGTCGGGACCCAGATCTGTCGATGTCTCCCCTCCTCCTACCAAGGTGCCTAGGATAGGCATGTCACTCACTCCCTCTACTCCAGCTGTCCTAGACTTCTCTTCCCAAGGCGTTTTTCCTACTACTCCAAGCGCTGCTACTTCAGGACAGGCATCCCCCTCTGCTTCTGAGGTCGAGAGAGCTGTGGAGACGACCTCCTGGATCTTGGCCTCTCTTAGTCCGCCTACTGCATTAATCAATCCTCCCCTACCTGAATGTTCCAAGATTGTAAAGGAGGAGCTCCTCAAGGCAAGCAAAAGTGAGGGCTCCTTTCTTGATAACCCTGACCTTGTTGTGGGGCCCTCTCCTCTATTCTTCTCAATGCTGATATAAAAATGGTCTTTTCACTATCTCTTGAGGATTCAATAAGCTCCGTTCTTCACGGAATAACTACGGTAAGTTCTTATTCACATTTATGATCTCTTCTTTCTTTTTGAACTTTCTTAATTTCTGTATGTTTTCTTCTTGCCTCAAGTCTGCTATCCATACCAAGAGCTTGATGAACAGGGTCCTGTCTGTGGAGAATTCTACCAAAATGGTGAGGGCTTAGGAAGTTAAGGTTACCGAGTTGGCTTTTGAAAATGATGATCTGCGAGCTCAGCTACAAGAGCTACAAGACAAAGTGGGGAAGCATGCTTCCACCATTGAGGGCTTAGAAGTTGCGAAGGGCAAAACTAAAGAGGGGGAGAGAAAGGCTAGAGAAGCCTAGGCCAAGGCTAGCTAGGAGGCTTCTGCTGCTCAGAGCTCTTTTGCAAGCTTAACCAGAGATTTTTGTTGCCCTATCTGATGCTAATAGCACCCTTTGCAGCGAGTTTGAAGAGCTGAATGCTGTTATATCTGCAAAGGACAAAGACATTGCAAAGCTGTGGGATGATGTTGCAACCAAATGGGTCTCTAGGTGGCTTGCTTTCCAAGGAAAAGCTGAGGAGACCTACCCTGGCCTGAATTTCGACTTTGATGTTCCCAACGATAAAGACACAGAGGTGGCTGAAGCAAAAGGTGAAGGTGAGCCCCTTGCCTCTTCAGACGTCCCTGTTGCCGAGCTCCCCTCCCCTGTTGACCTTGCCACTGAGACTTCAGTTTTTCCACCTTCTGTAGAGGCCCTACATTCAGAAGCTCCCCTCGTTGGATCTTCCCCAAATTCTGTTAACTTGCTCATCACTTCTGCTGAGCTTCCAACTTCTGAACCTGCTTCTGTCCCAGCACCGACAACTGACTAACAGAACTCTAGCCTTATTCCCCCCTCAGAAACTTAGGATGCATAGCAAATTTTTTTTTTTTTTTGTAGCTTTGGGCTAATTATCTCAAAATTGTAACATTTTG